ATTATAATAGATTATATTAAAAATATATTTAAAAGAATTATGCATCTCAATCATGTCCTTTGTATTAAAAGAAACACAATAACTATTTTTAATTCTGAGTTATCGTTAATGAATATTTCACTAATATTTCGTCTATATATTGAATTTTCATAGACAACTCTGTATTCGAAATATAACGACAATGCAACTTATGATGAATATTATGAATATTGACTTATGGAAACGCATTTGTCTTTCTTTAAATCATTTATTTATGTTTTTCTTTACGCAATTCAATTGCACTTTTAAGTTATATCATTTAACCGTTGACTTTATTCTGTCCAAACTGAAAATATATATACAATATGACATGTTTTATTGCAAGGGACGTAACTGATTCATGAAGTACTTTTTGATATTTTTTTATGCTTCACAAAACTTAATACCTTTGAATTTTTTTTTACCGAAATACCTATGTTGCAGGTTGCAATGGAATTTATTCTAAAATATATGGATTCACAAGATGATTATTTTTTTAAATAGACGATCTTTTTAATGAAGCGTTAGGTTTTAAAAACAATAGGGAATTAACTTTATAATACAAGATAAAAACTTGTTAAAATATACAAAGAAGAATGGACTTCCTTGTCTATTTAAAAGATTCTGTCGCCTATTTTAAATATTTAATAATATAAATCAGCACTATAGTTATGTGGTATAATCTTTCCTTCCCTATTTGTCAAAATCGCACAGGTTTTAGCACATTTCTGTGGTACTTTTTAGTTTGAGGATTTTTTTTCCTGTCTATCCTATAACTATAATCGTTATTATGTAAACTGTTATTACATTTTAAGCAATTTCATGCACATTAGCATTCTGAACCTAAATAATCATATAAGTTTTGTTCACAAATCAGTAACATTTACAATTCCTAATAATTGTCTTAATATGCATAAAAATTTCGTGCCCAGTTTCTTGAACTTAGCACAGTAATAATAAAGCTGTTCAAATGTCCTTCTATTCTAAATATAATTCTTCTCTCGCCTTTGAATATTTTTTACCCTTTTCAAAAAAGACAACCTTTATTAAATGAAGTTAAACAACATATCTAATAGGGAAAGAAAATTTGCTGATTTATTAGTCATTCACGATAGTTTCTACCAAAAACAGGGTTATCATGCCTTTATAACTATTTTAATCTTAATAAACGTTTATGAATTTAACACTTAAAGAAGAGCGCATTTTATTCAAGGGTATTCAATTTCTGAAATATTAGAAATGAATCATGAAACGTCAAAATAATCTATTCAACACAGATTATTTAAAAAAAATTGCATAAACCTTTTCTATATAACCCCTTATTATGCATCTATTCATTCAAAAATGAATCCTACATTGCAATATTGTTCTTTTATGCTATCACGCATATAGTAGACTTTATAATTCTTATTCTGATTTTTATAGACCATGAAACTTTTTATAAAATCTGATAAAAAGTACAAAAATGAGTAAATATAAACGTTTATCAAATTATGTGTATATCAAATATTTTTGCAAATAGTTTTTTTCCTTGATCTCTTAAAATACATATTTTTCTCTCCTCACTATTTGTACACAATTGAATTATCACAGAAACATTTTAAAGAAAAATTTTAGATTCTACGAGTTACTGAAGACCAGAATTAAAATGTAATGGAGTGAAGATATTACCATTATTTCTTTTCTGTCATTTTATATGCACTTCATTAAACGGTTTTTACAAAATTGCAAAGAAAAGAATTTTTTTTTCCAATAATTTGTAGTTAAGCAGTAAATTTGTAAATAAATGTAAGAAATATTAAATGTCTGCTTAGAAAAGAGTATTAAGGGATAATATGTTCTCATAAAGATGCAGACAAGGCACGAAAAGATAATTTTCACCTTAGACAACTTTTTTTTGAATAACGCCTTAGTAACTTTTTCCTTTTACCATTAACATATGCAGAATTTTTTTTTTCTTTATAAAGAATAATGAAGTTTCGAATGGATAATTCGAAGTACACTGTAAGGAAGCATGCGATAACCTCTTTTGATGAACTCGTAAGTAATTTACAAAATAAGCAAATTAAATTTTATAGATTTGTTTTTTTTAAACACAGAAAAAAGTTTGTGGACTCTTTTGCTCTAATTTGAATTAGGAAAAGAAGAACATATGTATTCCTTGTTTACAACCTTTCGTGGTAAACTAAAATAATGTTAATCAATTCATAGGACGTGTAAAAAATAATAAACTATAAGAAACATAAATGTTAGTATTGTTTAAAAGATGTAAGGACAAATTAGGACACAAAACGTGAAAACGTTATTAGAATTATTAAATGATGCATCTTTTCTTAATATAAAAAATGAAAAATTTAGAGAAAGAAGGACACGAACACCTTGTGCCTTTTTGCATTATGCTTAACTCCAGAGTGTCTTTTGTACATTGCGTTTCTCTATATCTTTTTCCTTAATTTGAAGGCGTCCACACCGCTTAAGTAATAGTAGGGCTTCCTTTTCACTCTAATGAATCCGTTTTTTTCATAGAAACCTATAATGACAAACATAGAATGTCATGTGCAGTATGGCACTAAGTGGTATACAGACATATGCAGAAATATATACTTAAATGAAAAAAAAGGTATTACGTAATGTAGGTTTATTCGTTGCTTCTGCTTCCAGCTGAACCTAATGGATAAGTAAAATAGTAAGGAAATAAGTATATATGCAAAATTATGAAGCTTGATCAGAACGATTAATTTTTTACAACAGACGGTAAAGGTGTGTGTACCTCATCTATGCCGTACAAATCTTGCATTAATTTTATACTTTCATTTAATAGGTATGTGCCTAAAAATGGAAAATTTTCGTGTTTATGATTTCGCAGCATGCTTTAAATATTGACACGCAACATTGAAGAAATTTCTAACCTAGACCACAACTTCTGACAGATTTGTGAACTGCTATCATGCCTGTTAACATTTATAGGTAGTGAAAAGAAAAAAAAGTGAAACAAATCGAATTTTTCATGGATAGATGCACACTCATGTGTAGAGCTAGTAGAAACAATGTTGCACGCTAAATTTATGTATTTTTTCTTTTTCCTTTTACATATATATCCGAAGGTCGTTGGTTCATCATTTTTACATTTTGTCGTAATCTTGCTTATTACTGTGCCCATACACTCTTCATCACATAAACACTAACATTAATAAAGAAAAAAAAAAAACAAATAAAGAAATTGTCGCTTTTTTCATGTATAAAAATAAAACAAATGGTGCAGCACTGCATATTCATTAACAGACATTAAAGATTTACATACCATTAGTGCAATTTCGCTATAGTTCTTCAAAATCGTTTTAAGTAAAAAAATGTTATATGGTTCAGATAATTCACTTCCCAACAATTCGTATACGCTTTGTAGATAATCTTTTGGGAAAGTTTTGTATTGATAAATTTTAATCCTCTTCTTATTAAAAACAGCAGTTCTGTAAATGCCATTTTGGTTTACAACACCTTCATGATTGTCATCAGTGGACTCATGTTCTCTTGATTTATCATCACGTTCTTCTATTTTTAAATCATTTGTGGGTAGGGACAAGGGATTGGAGCAATTATCAGTATTCTCATTTTTTGCATTATCCATTGATACAGACTCTCTGCATTAATTTTGGTAAAATGATTAACTGCGAAGTGTATCTCAAATGGATTGCAGAGGATGGGAAATTATATTTGATCAAGTGAACTTATTTTTTTCAAAATTAAAGCACATAATTTTAAGTTTTCCAGTTTTACCTATTTATCATTTAATAATGAAAAGTTTTCATTTCATCACAAAAAAAAAAAAGAAAAAAAAGGGGAGAAAAAAAGGAAAAATTACAAATGGCCGCAGAAGGCGCCGTATCGCTGCCGTTTTATGAACTGCCGCCTTTTACATTTAAAAAAAATACTTGAAAAAAATAAAAAAGCCACGTAATAAAAATTTCGGTTTGCAAATGTTAATTAAAAATACGCCAAAAAAATAGAATTATCTTAAAATATACATGATATTGTGCAGATACGGCAATACAGATACTTTTACTGGTTAACAAAAAAAAAAGAAAGAAAAAGAAGGAACGGGTTCATTTTTAAAAATTAAAATGACACTACTTCGGATGTTGTTATGAATAGATAAAACAAATAATATGTGTAAAAACGAGTTCTACCTCATGACAACTCGTTTTTACACATTTATGGTACAAATAAAGCCACCTTCATTTATGGAAATGAAATTATGCTTGGTATACTTTTGTTTAACGTAAAAAAGGGGTAAAATGGATTGAACATTTAAGCCTATAAATAGGTCCTTTTGCGGATACGTTTTTAGTGGACTAAAATGATTCATATGTTTAATTTCCGTTGCTTTCGTTTCACTGTTTTTTTTCTTGTAGTAATGATAATAAGCATCATCGTATTTATGAGAAGAATATATGTAGGGTATCCTTGACAAATTATTGTAAGCGTGTATGTTAGAGTATATCGAATAATCAGAATTTCCATCCAAATTTATGATTCTATTTTTAGTGTTCATAATGTCATATATATGAACCGAATTTGTGTATGTGTCTAGAGAAACTAGGAACTGTTCATTGTCTATAACGTAAAAATCGTTTAGGTGTTTTCTCAGGTTACTATTATCTATAAATCTATCATAAGAGGTTACCAAACTGCTTTTTGTCTCGTCATTATGTTTACAAGGGGCATAGCGCATGTCGTACAGTCCTATATGATTATTAGTTTTTGATAATATATACTGAAAGTTGTTGCTTAATGAGTACATTTTATTTACGTATCCTTCATTCGGCTTCAGTTTCGAAATGGTGTTTAAAAAATTACAGCGCAAGTCACACAAATATATATGTTCTGTATTGCAACACAGAAAAATATTGTTGTTTGATTTGTTCACACTTTCACAACATATTCCTTTTTTTTTATTATCATTGTACTTGGCCGCATTTGATGGGTACCAGTTATGGGGGGGGGCACCATTATGCTTGTTTCTCATTTTTTCATTTGAGTTATGTAGACCTGATGGGTATTGGCCGTGGTGGTTCTTATTCGAGCGGTTGTTCATATGATGTTTTGATTTGTCTGCAAAATGGTCATTTCGCTTTTTTGTCGTCTCATTTTTGCTTACGTGGAGATGGTCATTTTCCTCATTTGGATCTTTACTAGGATGTTTTCGTTTATTATAACCCTTTTTCTGTGCGTCATTTTGGTAATGATAATCCGAGGGTGATCTTCTTTCGTTTAGGTTCGCTTGTTCCTGCCCATCTACATCATTTCCCATTTCGCCTTTTCGTTTTTCTTTGGCCTTTTTCGCGTGGAAGGATCGCTCCTTCTTTAGGGAGCCATAATAGCCAATTAAATTGCTAAATGGGGGCTGACTTCCGCTTAAAATGTTGTGCACATAACATGATAAATCTTCGTTCATGGATAACAAGTCATGGACTTTTAATTTCTTGCTATCCCATATGCAATACGGAACTCCATCATTTTTTATTGCGTTAAAACTGAAGCAGGGATTAGACCCGCAAATGAAAATTTTATCAATTTTGTTATCAGGGTGGTAGTACGCATAATCCTCATTCATGGTATGGCTACCACTGTCCCATGCATTTCCTCCATTATGACCTGTGTAGCAACCATCTTGCAGTGATGGAAACAGCTTAAAATAATTAATTTCGCTCGCAAAACTGTACGTAACTATTTTTGGATCGCGCTGAAAAAAAGAACAGATGTTAAACATACATAGGAAGCTTTTTTCATCCTTCATATTCGGATATGATGAGTAGGCAATATATTCAGAATTGAAAATGCTAAAATGAGATAATATTTGTGGCGAGACGCATAACAATTCAGTGTTCTCCTTAGAATACGTGCAAAAATATTTTGTGTCTGTATTGTAGTACACGTTCTCATGAATCATATCTTCTAGTGGAGACTTGTTATCTTTCTGAATGAAGTTCCTTATATCAATAGCTCCCAAGCTGAAGGAAGAGTTGTTTTCCTTGGTGGTACTAAAAATAAAATCTTCATAAAGTGGATTACTGAATAGGTGAAAAAACGATTCCGTTGCCTTGTAGGTTCTTGAAATCCTCGTTTCGTTCGTATTTACATCTAAATGTCGAACGGGCATAATCTCATGAAACCTGCGTCCACCTCTTTCTTGAAATATCCCATTGTATAAGGCATTGTTCTGTGTAGAAGGAAGCGGACGGCTGAGTACATCATGATCTATATCAACTGTTCCACCTATGTCGTCATATTCGTCCCTATTTCGGTGCACATGACTATAACTGTAATTGAAATTGTTGCTAGTGCTGTTGCTAGCATTAAAGGTGCTGGTCCCATTGCGGAAAGGACTCCCACTATTGTTTCTACGCCTGTTAGCGTAAGTTCGACTGGGAATGTGATAAAAATAGTAAAAATTAGCCCTGTATCTATTTATAATTATGGTAGACTTAAAATTTTGTATGCTACGAGCATTTACCTTTTCGTGTGTCTGTCCGAACAATTTTGGAATAAGCAGACCACCACTTCCTATACCATCGCACCCTGGGAACATATGATTTTCATTTTTTATTTGCTGTATTTTCTTGCTCGAGTAATTTTTCTTTTTTCGATTAGCGCAACTTCTCGTTTGCTCTTCTGGTGAGTTAGTATATGTACTTTGTTTCCTGAAATTTTGGTACGCATTAAATGGTTCGTTTTTGCTTATGTCCAAATAGGTCCTGCCTTTTATCATATTTTCACTTATCAGTTTCTGGCACACGTTGAAGAATCCAATGTCGGCGGCGCTAAGTTCCATGGTGTCATTTCTTTTGGGGTTTGGAGAAGGGGCCGTTCTTGGGTCATTCACTCCGTGCACGTAGAGCGTGCCGTCTTCCTCATCTTTGTTGTCCCTGTCATTCTCGTCGCCCTCGCCATTCGCGCCATTCGTATCATTCGCGTCCTCAATTTGATTGTTCAAGCTGCTGATGCTGCGGAGAGTACTCACAGCGTCGAGACCATTTTGAAGATTCGGGTGGAGCACACTCGGCGGTGACATGCCTCCCCCCCCCAGATGACAGAACGATGAAGCGTTATCCGAATGAAGATCGCACAAATCTTGCACGTGAATATACTGGTACGACGCGATGTTAATAAAAATGGGAGGCAGACTCAAAATGGAATTTTCTCGAAAATGGAAATTCCGGATGCTCTTCAGTATATTAAAAATATTTTGATTTTTTGAAATGCATTTTTTTAAAAAATTTAACTCATTATTAATTAGTTCTAAATTTTTTTCTTTACTAAATGTACGACACGCATTAGTGTCTAAAGACATATGACCCTGATTGTCGTTATGTTTCACATTTGACTTATGCGCGTTGGATTGTTTTTTCTTTTTTTTCATTTCTTTTATTCCATGTATCCTGTGAAATCTTCTTATTACCACATCTTTTTCTTCTACATTTCTCTGGCGATTTTTTCTCTTGGCATTGTTTATTTGTCTGTCAAATTCTTCCTCCTTCAATTTCTTTTTCAGTTCATTGTCTATTAGATAATACCGATTTTTCTTCTTATCGTAGTGGTAACCTGGTATACTTAGTGGTTCCTGTGTGGATTCTTCATTCATCCTTATGTTATATCTAAATGTGTTTTTTTTTTTTCTGTTTTTGTTTTTGTTTTTCTTTTTTAGCCCCTCTTTACGCGATCATGATGAGTGTACAATACGTAGAACGGTTGCAGGAAGTTACCACATTTGCGCGTGGGCTGAACGGTATAGTGGACATGTATAATTGGCTCACCTTGGCTAGATGCCAAGTGGGGGCTCTTGCGAAGCGCGCGCTGATTCTTGGAGCGCATGAGCTTGAACGGATATAATGTATGCGTAATGGACTATGCGTATAGGTCATATTGCATATCCTTTCGGCTGCGCGGGGAGGGCCGAGAAAAAAGGCGTAAACCTCGGCGCGACGAAAAATGCCACTCAACAACTCGACAGCCTGGTCATCAAGTGCCACGAAGGGCAAAACGTGTCAAAATTGTTACGAGGCCGAAAAAAGCTTCCTTTTTTTCTCTTTTTTGAGAATCTGAAAGAAAATTTTTTTTTTTTTTGACAAACTGGTTTAGTCTGTAACGCGAGGCTAACGTTTTAGGAAAAATCGGAACCCGGGGTACACGGGTTGCATACATAAAGAGATATCTAAATGGATGTATAAATTATACATATATAAATGTATACATGCATAAATGTATAAATGTGCACATGCTGCAATGCCGACCGGTTGGAATTCATTTCCCAAGCGTCTCACAAAAAAAAAAGCGAAACGAAGCGGATGAAGAGTTGCAAAATAGTCACCAACCGAATTCGCATAATTAATATATATGACGGGGGTGGGGGGGGGTAAAGTCCGTTACGAACGCTCTTAAAATCGGAAGTGGCTGAAATGGAACGAATGGAAAAAAGCAGGATGGCACGTAAAAAAGAAAAAAAAAAAAATTAATTCTTGAAAAAGATTATCACTTGGCCATTGCAATCGCTATATATCGCCTTCTTAAAGATGATTTATTTTAATCACAGGTTTGTATTTTCCTTTTTCTGGGGAGTTAAAATACAAAAAGAAGCGAAGCACATTTGCACGCAATTCACCCGCGTGAGTGCTAGTTGGAAATTTACAATAAAATTGCGTTTTCTTTTTTTTTTTCCTTTCCATCTCTTTCACTTGGAAAATTAGTAATAACATGATAGCTAGTTATTGTCGTAAAAATATTGCTTAACTTTTTTTTTTTTTTTATATTTCACCCATTTGGCGTAATTTTGTGTCGCATTATCATTTAAGTCTTACTATATGAATTGATGGTTTAAAAGACAGAAGTGGGAAAACTTCCTTTCCTTCACGTGTGTTTTTATGGGGCCCCTATCTAATTAATTACTATCATTCTTTATCCCATTTTCTTTCTGCACATTTTGTTAAATTCGCTTTTTTTCGGTCATTTGAATTTCCTCTGCGCGGGGAAGCAAAATTGTTTCCGCATTACTGCACGATTTTTGGGTAATTACAATTTCTATTGCGCGAGAGCAGGCGAACGGGAGGGGGGAGGGACATAAGTCTTGACTTGGATGTCTCGCAGGAAAAGTGTACTATGCATGCTTGCCCGTTCGCAATGAGTATTATCTCGTATTTGTTAAAATGCGATGGTAGGGGGAGAAGACGTAAGAGTTAAAGTGTCGGCAAAACTAAACTTGTCCTTGGGCAAAAGGAGAAGATATTTTGCGTCCTCTTCCCCAGTACGGCACGTCCCCCTGGTGCCCTTTTTTTCTTTTTATACAATTTAAAGAGGAATGGCATATGCTGTGATTATACTTTTTAGTAAAACGTACGTGAAGCATTTTTTAATTTATGACAAACGGGAGTAACTTCACGCGAAGGACGTCATTACTGCCCATTGCTGCCTCTTTCACTACGGCGAAAATGGAGCCAAGGCGGCTAATAACAACCTTTTAGTCGTGAACAATCGAGTTCCTCTTTAAATCTTTCACTTTGACATGTGCGAAGCGAGCGCTGCACGCTGCGTTGCCGCATTCGGTAAGCAAAGGAAAAGGTTATACTGAGCGAAGTTATTTCTTTTACATTTTGCTTCCCTCTGGTTCACTGTGGTTAATTTTTTCTCCCTCGATTTGTAAAGTTGTCAAAAATGATAGAGCGCCACGTTTCTTACAATCGGGGGGACACAGAAAGACCGCTCATGCCGATTTGCACATTTTGCAATTTGTCGTTTTCCCCTAAATGTAGAAAATGGCACACACAAATATTCCTATAATGCATATGGTATGCCCAATGTGGTGACCTTGGCGTGTACGTACAGGTGAGCACGAATGGAGCGGCATTGCGCTGTACATACTGGACGGGGAGGACTGCACTGATCGTTGGCGAAATGACGTACTAACGCGTTGAAGTTCATTTCATTCGCGAAATGTACGTCGTTTGAAATGCCTCTTTTTTCATTTTTTTCTTTTTTTTCCTTTCCATTCAATTCTTTTCACTTCCTTTCATTTCATCGTCGAGGAATGAGCACCATTTTGGACGAAAAAAGAAAAGTGTTCACGAAATGGGGTCGAACAGCGATAGGCGTGGGTAAAGCTTTTTTTTACAAAGAAGTGGCGGTATTGCATAATAGTACGGCAATTGCTGCATAATGGCATAACGGCATGGCCATATTGCCGCACTGCTAATACCATTGGGCATATGTATACAATTCCGCGCTGTCAGGAAAGGCGCAGACGGGCAGGAAAAAATATATACTCCAACCTACGTTGGCAACTTGGTGCCTCACTGAAATTTACGTTGCGACAATACGTAGTAGTAACTTTTTTACTTTATGTGGACAGATTGTTCTGTTTTTTTTTTTTAATTTATAACGCGCGAAAAGGGGCACAGTTGAGCAGCAGCAAAAACTTGTCAAATCTTGAGAAAGCGAAAAATTGCAGTTTTTAATTTAGAAAACATATCCGCAATAATTTGCATAATGATATGACATACCGTAAAGAATATTTTTGCGAACGTAAAAAAATATCTGTCATTTGTTATTTGGGCATGTTGCTAATGCATGCCGAGAGCATATGTCAAATTTATGTTTTTATAATTTTACGCGTTTATACCTTTTGCATGTTTATATTTTACATGTTTATAATTTTGTATATTTAAAATATGTATTTATGTTATGTTAACGTATTACCCCATTACCAAACTGAGGGCATATATATACTTTACCTGCTGCGTACCAACATTTAAAAAAACAGGAAGAGCATGCACACAGAAAAAAAAAAAAAATAGGTTATACTGTAGAAGAAAAAAATAATGCGCGGTGGGTCGATCGGTCGGTAAAATATTTACGTTTAGATTCCTTAATTTTTTTTTTCTCCAGAAAACGAAGAGTTATTATTTCTAACAGAGGGTGACATGTATTATGCCTAATATAAGAATTTATTTAGCGTTTCGCCTTTCGCATTTTGCCCTTTGCCTTTTTCCTTTTTTTTACCGGTTTCCGTTTTGCATTTTTTAAGAATGGAATTGCCCTTTTAAAAGAATTTTTTTTAATTTTTACCGCTGATTCTTATGTACCTATTTTTACCTTTTTAATTTTTTCTCATTGCTATAAGTAGCCGTACTGAACTGCAAAAAGAAAGAGAAAAATAATAGCTTCTTTTTTTACGCGAGGCCGTTTTTGAAATGTAACTCCAACTTTAGCTTCCCTACGGAACGGCAAAGGTTGCGCGGGGCCAGTTGATGCAGGTTCGACGTACGCATGTTTCGCCAGTCATCATGCCCCTGCCTCTGTCGACTGTTAAATGGAAGATATGAGGTGACGTCAGAGAAAAATTAGAAGTTTCCCTCGAAGAAGCCCGTCGAGCGGTGGAGCGGTCGAGCCCTCAGCATCTACCCCGTGAGTATCTGCCCGCTAAGTATCTACCCCGCAGCATCTACCAGCAGCATCTCCCCGTAGCATCCTCCGAATTTTTTCATGGCTTAAAAGAAGAACGTATAGGTATATGTACACTTATACGTATATATAGAAAGAGGAGAGAGGCGACGACGAAGTTTTGTGGAACCTCACTCCTCCCCCACCCATCCCCTCCCCCCTCTGGTCGCCTTCCCCTGTTTATGCCTATGTTTTTCGTGCGCCACTCCCCATTTTTTGAGCATCTCCAAATTTGAAGCCAAGAGTTTTAGCATGATAACCGTTTATGTTCCGGCATTACTAACTTTTGGGCAGTTAATAACAACGGCAAGATGCATCACCGTGATAAACTACTTTTCCTTTTGGGATCTAAGTGGGGGGTCATCATTGTCCGATCAAAATGGAACGAAGAAGAATAGTAAAAAAGGTCAGGAGAAAGAAAATGGGAGTAAAAACTTGGAGGAATATCTGGATAAGGTAAAAATGAACCTGCGAAGTAAAAAAATGAATTATTTAAAGCCCATATTTACAAACCCAGAGACGGAAATTCATTACTATCTTAGAAGTGATGGCAATTACGATGAGCTATATGCCAAATATCCCATATGTGAAGCTAAATACAAAATAGCAGATAAGGTGAAAGCCCTTAGTATATTCCATAAAATGATGAATAAGACTAAAAAGCTAGCCCTAGTCAAGACCTGCATAATGGAGATGTATGGTGTTCTATGGGTTACTATTAGAAACACGAACGACATCATCTCCGTCGTTGCTACTGTCTATGGATACGTACCATATATCTTAGCCTTCCTAATGTTCCTGGGGTTGTTGCTAACCTTTAACAAGATTCTGCTTTACTTGGCTTTTATTATCCCCATCCAGTTCACACTGAACGATTTGGTATTGAAGAAATTGCTAAAGATGAATAGACCGATTCATAGTGCACTTCAGTCGTATGGAATGCCATCCGGACATAGCTCCTTCTCTTTCACTTTACTCACCTTTATATTACTACATCTAAGGGAGTCTAAGAAGGATAAGTGGACGACAATGTCTTACATCCTTTCCATCATTGTACTTTTACCAATACCTTGGAGTCGTGTTTACATTGAAGATCATACCCTGTACCAGGCTTTCTTTGGCTGCATCTTGGGAGTCTTCATCGGTGTTGTTTCCTACATGATAAAGAAGCAATGTTTGAGGCAGAAGGATAACATCAAGTAGGGGGAAGGGGAAAGAGGAAAAACACATTGGTCTGTTTAAGGAAAGCGAGAAGTGTAGTATCATGTGCCCCTTCTCGGTCTCCTATTCATTTGGTTATACCTCCCGGGAGAAATCTAGCCACAACGTGTAAATCTGTTTAACATTTCGCGGGGGGCTACCCCCCCCAAAGCGGGGCGTTTTTAACCCCAACTGAGGGTTCCCACTTTGAGGTCTCCCCCAATGAAGCCTACCAACCAAGCATTTCTAAGAGTAATAAGAAAAGAGAGAGAAGAAGAGAGAGGCCCTGTGAAGAATTGGCATTCCAGAACAGAAACATACGAGGAAAAAGTCTTACCTTCGGGGGGGAGAGGGTACTCCAAAATTATACCCAACCGAGGCCCCGTCTGAAGAAATTTTTGTAAATGCCATGGTTTTTTTTTTAACCTCACCTGGATGATTACTATACGATGGTCGCGCATACACATACAGAGAAAGCTAGAGTGACAACACGGAAGGTACACCCGCATTATTCTGGTTCTTAGTCTCCTATTTTTTTCGGGGAAGACGACTCGACCTGATGGAACTGGCCGAACGGACCGAATGAACCAAACCGGCTGAACCGGCTGAATCGGCTGAACCGGCTGAATCGGCTGAACCGGCTGAACCGGCTGAACCGACCGAAGCAACCGAACCCCCATCCCTTTGCGCACTTCTGCGTTGTGCAGTTTGCACGGTGCCGTGCATAACGGGAAGTGCACACATGTACATATGGTTATATAATATATAAACATCTGCACGTGTGGGTGTATATATTTATACACTTATGTGTACGTGCCGCTTTTTTTCCTGCACGCACCACGCGCGCTCTACCTTTTTTTTTTATTATGTCTACATGAATGCATTTGAGGCGCATAGAAGTGCACTCTCCTGCGTTCGGTACTTTTTTTCCCCCAATATGTTTATAGGCTTTTATTTTTTTTGTTACAAGAATTTCCCTCCACGCATATATATTTAAATATATATGCCGCTCTTTTTGTTCTCCTTTTGTTTAAATTTCTACATCGCTGCATGTGGGCATTTTAAGCAGCGGTTTTTTACGTACCAGCTTCATTTATTTTCCATAACAAAATAAAACTTCTTCATTGATAAACTTGATTAAAATTCAGCCCTGATTTTTTTAAAACGTGTAATGTAAGAAAGCTTGGGCAGTCGTTGCAGGTTCGCAAGATAGGAAGATGGAAAAAAGTTAAGAATAAAACTGAAAAGGGAAAAAGGGGTCTACTTACACCCCCCACATATATGCCTTTGCAGATTGATGAAAGTACTAAAAAATGACCAAAAATTAGAGTTTCCAAATGTGACAAAAAAAAAAAAAAAAAAATGAAGGACGAATGGATGGAACGAGGAAGCAGAGTGGAAGAACGACGCACATATAACGGCGCTATGTTAGGTGGCGCTGCTCTGAGGGAGGGGACGTACGTACGGGAATTGTCCTCAAAATGTGTGTCGCGAAGTGGGTGCCCTTAAAAGCGTTCACGCTGATGTAACGTGGTGGTAGGCATCATACGCACATGCTGCTGCTACCTTGTTCCTGCTTATTTGTTGCTTCTTCCCTGTGCTGATTTGTCCACCCTGTCGTTTATCCCTCTCGTTTATCCCCCTCGTTTGTCCCTCCTTCCAGCCGCCCTCGTCACTGCAGCTTGCAGGACCACCAGGGGTGCATGCTCAGGTCCTTCAGGTTCAGCTTCTTCCTGTGCTCCATGTGTAGCAGTTGCTGCGGGGGGGAAATGGGAACAAATGGGCGTAAAAAAAGGGGATGAAGTGGGCATAAAAAGGGGGGACAAAATGGAAAAAGAAAGGGAAAAAAAAAAGGACACAACGGCCCACACAAACAGGGCGCTTCACATCATTCCGTCGCTACACCCCTCCACCGCTACACCACTCACCTTGATGATGTTCTTCAAATCGCTCGGCCACTTGCGAGTCAACTCGAATTTGTCAAAGTTCATGTCGCACTTGACAAAGTAGAAGAAGTCCTCGTCCTGCAGAGGGTCGGAGCATTTCCACAGGTTCCCATTTGTCCATATCCAGAAAAAGAAGACACCCAACATAAACTTGTCCGCACTAGACACGTCAAAGTAAAACTGCTTCCGCTTCTCCTGATCGGTGATGTTCTTCAGATCCTTCAGCGGGTTCTTAATCTTCATCGTGTCATATTTCCAATAAATCTTCCAGCACTCGGGTGGCATGTAAGCTCCCTTGGCAATGGTAGGTTCACACGATTCAAAAAGATAGAGCCGATTCACATCCTTTATGTGTCTCAAATTGTATGTATATATTGGAGTACTCTTTGATAGGTCACAAAGTCGCATCTCGTAGGTGTCTGAAATTAAGATATTCTCGGGGGTCAGATCCAAGTGAGACAAACCTGCATCGTGTAATCTTATTAGTAACTTCAGACACTGGTATAGAATGTAGCTCTTCTCATTGTTATTGATTTTCATATTTAACTTCTTCTGTCTTCGATCGATAAAGTCAAGGATGTCTTCACTGAAGAATTCGGAGACGATGACGATGTTCCCGCTTATGTTGCATTTTAATCGCTCCGTTAGAATATCATTAAATAAGGCTAAACTGTTAAACATGGACTTGGGTGGGAGAGTATACTCATTTGGTTGCTTCCCATCCGGCTCATACAAAATTCCATGCAATTTAGGGGTTATCCCTGGATGATACTCATTCAGGAAAGCTAAAGAAGTCGCCTCCATGACGAAATTCTCCCCATCGGTTACGTACTCTCCATCGTATTCACTCATCAAATTGTACTGCTTTACCCATATGTATATGGGGACCTTCTTCAAGAAGAGCTTCACCTCAGTCTTATTGTTCGCATCGTTCGAGGGGATCATCGCCTTGTACATCTGCTGCACTCGATTACTCGATTTGGAAAAACCTAACGTCGGGATGCATGTCAACTGCCAATTGGCGTATTCCACTCCGTTAAAATGGTAGTTGTGTGCACTATGCAACATTTTGAGAAGGGACTTCTGGGCCAGCTTCCAGTTAAATATACACTTGGCCTTTATCTGTTTCTCGATGACATTGCTGCCTCGACGTATGGGCTTGCTTATACACTCCTTGAAGGGACTCAAAGTGTGCACAGGGCTGATTGAGTTGATTGAGTTGAGAGGACTCATCAGGGGACCTCCTCCCGCCACGCCGACACCCCCTCCGACCGCTTGGGTGCACGTCTGGAAGGGACCCGACACGCCGTAGAATTCGCTGTGCATCGGTCCCCCTACTTGCGTGTGCATATGCGGCGTCACCTGGGTGTTCATCTGAGCATTTATCTGCGCGTTTATCTGCGCATTCATCTGCGTGTTAATCTGCGGGTTAATCTGACTGCCCATTTGCGTGCCGACTTGCCTACCCATTTGAGTCCCCATCTGCGCCTGCACTTTCAGGCCGTGCAGAACCTCCATGTTGGGGAACAAATTGTGCTCAGTCTCGAACGTCGGAATCAGGTTCTGCTCTTTAGATGGGACGCTCTTAAACTTGTTCCAGATTTTCTTAATTTTCTGCTTCGAAATCATCAGCATCTGATTCTTCTGTTCCTTCATGGTATCACATTTTTTGGGCGGCAACATGTAGTACCTCTTCCCAGACGCGTAATTCGATTCCGGTTCATTGCACACTCTCGTGCTTCTGTTTACCATGCCGGAGTCCTTTTCCGCATTATAGGAGGTTTTGTATCCACTCCCATTGTAGCTACTTCCGTTGTAACCGCTTCCATTGTAGCCACTTCCATTGTAGCCATTCCCACTGTAGTTATTATTCCCCATGTAGTTGTAACTACCGTTGTTCTGCTTGCGCGCCATCTGGAGGTCTTCTCGGGCATTCACTCCTCTGTCTTCTTGCTCATGGTATGCATCTATCCCCCCTACACCCACCCCCGCCGCAAGTGCACCAGCAGCAGCAACCGCCACCCCTCCCCTGCTTCTAAGACACATGCCAGGAGCCGCCGCTATACCCGGAACGGACGTTACACGCGGAATCGCCGCTCCTGAGCTGTTCATCACGTCTGCGTTTCTGTTCTGCCCCATGTCCCTACTGTGCCCGGATTCATAATACGCGTTCGTCGGGTTGTTTCCCCTCACTTCGCTAATCATATCGTGATGAGCATTGTTGATAAGCATGTCACTAAAAGTGCTCGTAGGATTCTCATATTTTATGTTCCTCAAGAGATTCGCCGGAATTGTACTCTTAAAATACTCCTCCAAAGATTCTTCATTTTTGGAACACTCAAGGATTTGGCTTTTTTTCAGCATGGTCTCGTTCTTTTTTGTCTCATTCTTTCTGTCCATCCTGTCTGCCTTCTTCCCAGAGTAGACGTTCTTCTTCTTGTAGAGTCCTTCATTGGGGGTGAGGTCTTCTCCATGGAGGGAGTCCCTCTTGCTGGTGTTGTAATTTCGACTCCCGTTGTTCACATTGGTGCCGCTAGTCACACCACGAACAGGAGAACTAACCTGGATGCTAATCGGACCTCCCTGTCCCTTCTTGTCACTCGCGGCTGATGCGTAAGGGGCTATATTAGTATGACATGCTGCCAAGTAGCGACCACCCCCGCCTTTGTTCGGCTCACCACCAAGCTCAGCATAGGCATTTCCTTCGCCCTCCTTCCCTTCAGCAGGGTTAGCGATACTAGCGGCATTGGCGGTATTAGCTGCATTGGCGATATTGGCTGCATTGGCGATATTAGCTGCATTGGTGGCATTAGCCGCATTAGCGGCATTACACACCACCACAGGGCTGTACGCCAAGTTGTCACAAATTAACTCTCTTTCCTTTTCCGAATGGGAACCTTTTGCTGCGAGAGGATTTTGACTCTCCAAACTGTTAGCGTCAGTGTAGGAGGTAAGGTGCCCCGAGGTGAAGGCGACCCCCTCCTTGTCCCTTCCCCTATCTGAATAGACTCCCGGATGGCTAGCAACCAATTGGGGGAGGTCCCTCACGGATGAGGAACATTCTGTGGTACTATCATTCACATTTTCTATATCGTTGAAAATGTCCTGATGAGATGCAATCGTGTTTAAATTTTCCTTCTTTACATACGGGAGGGAATCCTTACTATCCGATTCGTACTGCTGTGACTTACTTCCACTCGTTTGCATCCCCATGTAGACTACGCCTTCCGTGATGCACTTTTCCTGCGGCTGCGGATGATGCACACCTCCATGCAGAGCATCGCCTCCCACATCGTTGTTCCACTTCTTTCCCATCAGCGTACCGGGATAGTTCGCCAAACTCTCCTTCGAACCATCGCGTGGGTGCCCTTCCCCGTTAGTGACTATACCGTCAATGCAATAATTCGTGGCTGCCGTCTGGTTGTCCTTACTATGCGAATAAGGGGTGATAGGTATGTCTTCCCTTTCACACACACCACCATCGGCATGATTGTACGACGCGACTTCTCTTCCGTTGTCTGTCATTCCATGCACATACGCATTGGTATAATCCGTGTTGTCCTTACCCGGGATGGAAAAATCTCCCGTCGTCATGCAGAACGGCTCGCTTTCATTTGCGCTATTCTTATGGACACCATTAATGCTATTCTTCTTCGTCTGTTGTTCTATCATTTTCGCGAATATCTTCTTTTCCTCTGCTGACATGTTGCTGTATTCCGTTACAAACGTGTCCTCGTTTAGGGCCCCGTTTGACACCTCTACCACGCGGTTCTTCATCCCATCGGCGTCAACTCCGTAGGGGGAATCACCATCTTCGCCTTCTTTTCCCTGCACGGAGGATAATCCCTTAGAATAACCACTCTCTGTGTTATCCCTGCTATCCCCACTGCCACCTGTGTCGCTGCCCCCAATGCTTTCATAATACTTCGTACTGGCAACATTCCTGTTGTACATGTTACCATTCCACGTAACCTCGGTGTCCATTCTGACCATGCACATGTTGCCTTTATCTTCGGCCAAGTGGTCCCAATTTTGGCAAAGTCCTGCTTTTTCTGCTTGACTCGAATATGTCGGGGCATTTTCATGCAACGTGTTTTTCATACCCTCGTTGGATATCTGAGCAAAAGGGATGCCTCCTCCACTGGTTACCTCCATGGCGCCGTCATCAAAGGTTCCCGTTTGGGGGGACTCTACCGGTGCGTCGCCCTTCGTGAAATTCACGGCATTTATGTCATTTTCGATCTTCCCGCTCTTCACATCCTTCGACTTGGCCCCCTTTAGGGAGATGTTCAGTTCATCTCCTTGGCACTTCTTTTCCCTATCATCCAGGGTGTTAGTCGTCTCATTCCCCTTTTCCAATTCCAGCGTCTTTTCATGCTTCAGGGGCAGATAATTACTAGCCTCCTCCTCATCGTCATCATTGCTGCCATCACAAGGAATCGTCTTCGACTTGCTATATTCGACCTTTCCCGTTGTCTCAATCATCCTTTAGGTTTTTACAGGCTTATGGGGTAGAGTATACTATGTGTAGGTTTCCCGGTGCAGAAGGGCACAGTTGTATTCCTATCTCTTACCTCGTTACAAATGAGTTTTGCACTCAGAGGGGAGAAGGAATGAGTGGAGGAAGAGCATCAATAAAAGGGCATGCACTAACTAGCTTATTCCTTTTTCTTCCTTTTTCTTCCTTTGTTTTTTTCTTTTTTGCCACTTTAAAGTGTAACTTTGCGGTTTCCACGTGGTAACTTCGACACCCTGGGACAGCGTGTCAGTAAAATGGGCTGAGTCAGCAGAAACGTCAGCAGAAACCAACTGCAGAGGCATTCAAAGGGGAAGTCTTAACTCTGCACGCATCCTACTGACTGATTACACATATGTGGTGTCATTAGGGGTATTGCACTTTGCACTACAAACAGGGGAGGTGCGTCCCAAACGATAAGGATAAAGCAAGCAAGAAAAATCAGGCAAAGTTAGCAAAGAATGAAAAGAACAAAAAAGCCGACAAGGGGGGGGATCATTTTATATGTATGTGTACTACTCATACATACGATATGTGAGTGCACTAATGTCGGCAGCTACCCACACCCCCACGGAAAAACATAAAACGAAGGTTCATTCGTCGGAAAAAATAAACCAACAAGTGGGTTAATATATAGTCGATGTCAATGAAATGTAAAATTGTAAAATTGCAAAATTGCATAAACAAAGAATATCTTCCCCTTAAGGCGTGGAGCTAGCCAAACAAAAAAAAAAAAAAAAAGGAAACAACGAAATGGTCACACATAAAGGATGTGTGTGGAGGGTCACTGACAGGTGTAGTTGCACAAGGCTCACAAAAACGGAGGGAGGTGGGAGAGCGAAAGCTACGAAAAACCAGAGATGGGAAAACGTCAAGCGTGTCAAACGATAACGTTTTGTGAAAAACACATGAGAAATGTGTCAAGGGGCCAAGAGGCAACCAAAAAGGAACCAAAAACCATAAAAAAAGAAAAAACTAAGACAATAACGAGCAATACTATGCAAGGGTTACACCAACGTAACGCCTAAGTTGTACATTGTGTCTTTACACGCGCTTTTCACCTATTGAAGGCAAAGAAACGGTGCGCAGCGTGAAAATTGGCGAATGCGCTGCAATATGGTGTAGTAACGGACAAGGTTGTTCATATATTACAAGGAAAAAAAAAGAAAGAAAAAAAAATGCCAGTGTGGTGCGACAAAATGTAGCAAACGCGGTGAAAAAAAACAAAATAAATGATCCGGGCACATTCTTACTAAAGGGTGCGACGGACGGGTAGCTAACGAGCCATGTGTCTAACAATCTAAAGTGCCACCATTTGGCTTGGCTGCAATTTGTCTGTATATGGAAGAAACAGCATTGAACTAGAAAAAAAATTCATGTCTTCACGCACGTGATGTTTTGCGTGGTGAAGAATTCGAAATGGTGAAGAGGGGGACACCAACGAAGCAGTGTTATAGCTCGTTGGTAAAAATAAAAAAAAATATATATGTGAACCATGTGTGGGTGGTGTGCTCGGTGTAGATTGCAGAAAAGCTCTCACTGGTGAGATGAACGGTCATGCCTTTTGGCTTCTTCTGATTTTTATTTTTTCATCGTAAGGGTGATCGGACTGCGCCAAAATTGCAGAGGTGCGCAGCGGAGATGGACGCTTAAACACGCATATATAGGAATATACAGGCATACGCGTGAGGATGCCTACCTACCAACGTGCATACAAAGGCTCATATGCACATGTGTACAATCATACAAGCATGTCCTTGGCGAGTAAGAAACACTTCCCCCAGCGGTTGAAGCGTAATACACCTGCGTATGTATGTACATATATATATATATGTATGTGTGTATATATTTGTGCGTCTATATTTGTGCGTATATATATATGTATATATGTGTACATATGTGTACGTATGCGTACGTATGCACAGGCGTATACTTCCCCCAAGCGGCTTAAAGATTTATGCAATTAAATAAAAATGAATTGGAAGACGCGGGGGCCCACGTTTGCAATCATCTTTTAATTCACTTAATTATGCATAATGTGTGTACTTGAAAGTGGAATGCCAGGAGAGGAAGAGCGGCAGAAATATGGCTGCAGTGCATTGCGGGGGCGGGAAATATATATTGGACAGTAAAAAAGGCGGCGTGGGGGACGCAGGTGGTTTTAATATAAGACGCGCACAAGTGGTACAGACAACGGGTCGGAATATGTATGCACACAAGCACACTCACTCGTGCGTACGCGGATGTGCGCCCCGCTCGATGTAAATTATTTGTCGATTGAAACGCTCAACACGGAATGCGGAGCTCGAGGAGCGCAAACCTTAAGCAAGTGTTCACAATGGTTGACAAACAAAAAAGCGAAGTGGCATTTTTTTAAGGTGGAGAAAGGGTAAGTGTAACTGGGGGAGGCGCAGAAGCGCGAAGGGGGGACAAACGCAAGTGGCGCGAGAGGGCGGGCAAACTCCCAGGATAAGTTGAACAAAAATGTATAAAGGAGAGAATGCGACAACTGTGAAGGATGTGATGGGTTTGACAAGTGTGAAAAATGGGATAAGTGTCATAAATGCGATGGATGCGATAAATGTGCGAAGGGGTGAAAAATAAGCAAACATGCATATGCAGACAAAAAACTGGTCAACAAAAAAAAAAAACCTTAACACATTGCGTCAAAAAAAAAAAAAGAAAAAGAGCTAGTTTGTTCATACAAAATTGATCAGAATGACAAGAAAATTTTTATTTATTTTACCACTCATTTTTCGTTATTTCTTTGTGACTGTTTTGTGATTATTTTGTGATTATTTCTGATTATTCCTGATTCTTTTCGGATTTTTGCTGCAATTTCGATCACATATATTTCTCCGGTTAAGATCAAAGTTACGAACTGCTTCCCTGTGAGCATATATTGAAACTTGAAAGAGGACATATTCATTCGGTGCCCGCGCAATTGTGTTATGCGATGTAAAAAAAAAAAAAGCAATCATAAAAAATTAGAAGCAATCATAAAAAAATAAAAGCTGTTTGGGAGAAAGTTCAGGATTTTTATTTTGTCAAATTTAAAGATGGTTGAATTTGTCTCCCTCGTGTGCTCTGGTATGATGAGTGGCATTTCGTCATCTGGTCACAGTTGCTATTTTGTCACAAAATTGCCACCACTTTTTATTGCATTGTAATGGTGTTGAATGAATTGTATTTTTTTTTTTTTTTTTCTTAGAACACCCTGCTGATCAAATTTGAACGTGTTTACGTGTCCACGTGTGCGATTCGGTATTCATGTGCGTGTGTCCTCATGCGCATATTGCCCAATCGTCCTCGCAGCGCGCGATGTTTACGGAGGCATACGCATATGCGTACCTTGCGTGTGTGTCAATGTGCGACAGAGCATGGCGATCTGAAGCACACACGAATGGCTAAACGCGCACATGTGTAATGATGCGTATGAAGTGTGTGCTCCTCTTCAGGACAGGCGCGTTTCCGCTGACACTTTGCACTTCCACGTATGTATAATTACACATATGCGTCCGTTTATATATAAAATGTACACTTGCGATCGCTAAGTATGCACACCTCACCCGTCCACCTTTACGGCCATCCACGCGGAGCTATGTGTATGCACATAATACACATGTCGCTGTTCTTATCATGGTACGTTGACACAAAGAAAAAGATCAGGAAAAAAAAAAAAAAAAAAAAAAAAGAGGGAAGACAACCATTCCCCCGACCTACAATCTTTACTGTTTTGCAAAAAAGGCAGCATATACCATATATAGCCCAACTTGTGGAGGAATCCCCGTGTGAACTACCATTTTGTGCTTTATCTCGTCCAGACCGCCCAAAAATACCCCTCCACTGCTCAACACACGCAAAAATACCCCTCCATTGCTCAACACACGCAAAAATACCCCTCCACTGCACAACATACGCAAAGAACTATTTCCACTTTTTTGAGGAAGGATTGTTTGACTTCCCTACTGGTGCAGACGCAGAGCTGCCTTTTTGTTGTTCCACCGTGTTTGCTTTTTCCATGTCCATTTCTAGCAATTTTTTTCCTCCCCTTTTTTTTTTTTTTTTGTTTTCCCATCTGTGTTGCTACTTATTGGTGAAATATAAACGAGTAGTAACTTGGGGCTCCCTTAAATGGTAAGACCCTCATCAAAAATGTTAAAGCGCCACTTTACGGCATGGTCGTGTTTGTAGGGGATAAATATAAAAAAGAATAAAATGAAGTATTCTTTTTTTTTTACGTCATAGGGAAGAAAAAGGACTCATCCTGCCTTTACCTACACGTTTGCAGCCCTGCTTCTCGAATATCCACACAGATCGAGCTACAGCGAATGTGTCTTTTTGAGATGCCGAGAGGGCACTGCTCCCCGCTGACCGGTTAAAGCAGTCATCTGGTAGACCACCAAAATTTTACTTGGCTGCCAGGTGGCGGCACCCTGACACACACGTAGATCTCCACGTGTGTACATTTACGGAGGTACGAGTACAAAGTACCCTCCCCCCCGGTGCCCCTAATGAAGCCGCTCATCTGCGCACACAAAGGGCGCGTCTACAACGAAATTACCAAGCAGACAAAGTTTGCCAAAAATAAAGACACCCTGCAGAAGACCAAATACCTGGACATCTCCTCCATCTCCGTCATTATCGATTGGCTAAACAGTCTCCAATTAAGTAAAAGAAATATAAATGAGCAAAACATTTACGAAGAGCTACAGAATGGGCACTTAATTTTAAGGCTAATTCAGCTTTACAATCCCCAGGTGGAAATTAAAGGCATATTTCCAAAAGCGAGGAAAAAAAAATGTGCAATCCAGAATTTGGAAAAAGCGTTGTCAATCATTTATGGAAACAACCCATATTACTACTCCATGGTTTCTTCGCTAGATATATATGAACAGAAAAAAAAAAAAATTCATATATTGTTAATACAGCTTTTTAGCAAATTCGAGTTCGCCATTTTGACAAGAATAGCAGCTCCTCTGTTAAGCTGGTACAACCAGACACTTAAGAAATTTCAGGTGCCCCTGCATAGGGAGACACTGAGCAACCCCTTTGACGTCACCCCGAGGGGACATTACAAGGAGAAGGTACATATCAAAGGGGATGACTCCCCAAATGGGGAGGAACACAAATCGGGGGAGACCAAATGGAAGGACTGCATATTGAAGAGCTTCGCAACGTATGTCCTATTTAAAGATAAAGCGGAAGAAGAAGAAGAAGACAAGTCCATCCCTCACATTGTTAACGATTTTTCTGATTGCATAAAAATCTTTCTCATATTTTACAGATATGGTTACATAACCCAAGAACAACTCAGACAGGCAAACATATTGGACATACGAAATAAATACTTCTTTCTGCAGAATTTGCTCAAAAAGTTGAACATTCCAATTGTTTTACAAAATCAATATTTTAATAATCCCTGCGAAGTTGCAATTCTTTTGCAGCTAAAATTTATTCAGTTCTTCATTCGTAATGAGGGGTATGAAAAAGCTATTGATTTGGATGGGGAACATTTTTCTTTTTCTGACCTGTTCAGGCGAAATGTGATGCAAACTAGCGAAAAAAAAAAAAAAAAAAAAAAAAAAAGTTGTACACGG